CTAATTGGTTGCGACGAATAGACGTGCAACGAATTGATCGGTCACCGTATAAGTAAATAAGTAAGTATGAGAAGCTGAAGAAATGAGACGTTTACAGCCATATCTACCTATACACTGACTATGTAATGATTGATGAACAATCGTTGATCCGAAAGAGAAACTGTACCTGTTTTTGTGAAATTGAAGCAAATTTCCGACGTTCGTAATGTGCTTAATCGATAAGTGTATAACTCTCCAGCGCTGTCTTTATAAATTCCATCACATACGCGACACATCATTTCCTCAATTTTTAAATTTGGTTCGGCGATATGGTTAAGTAAATGATAAGTAAAAAGACTATTACGAGGATTTGGGGCTCTTTCAAATGTCCTCTGATTTGGACCACACGCGAAGACTGTTAAAGAGCCTGCTACTCCTTTTATCGTTGTAACACTCATGGAGTCTGTCTGTATTGGGAGATCCTTGGCTCCTTCAATATGGAAACGACAACAATCGAGTAGGAACACGACTGCAAATGGCTTTTTTTTCTTCATTAATTCGAGTATTGTTTGAGCGCAAACAGCGAAATTTTCATGCCTATCAGGTCGCTCGATAAGAAGTTTGTTGTCGATAGGAATGAGATAATTTCTGTCATGCCATTCAGTTCCATGACCGGAGAAAAAGAAAACAACGAGATCACTTTCAATAATTTTTGCCACAAAATCCTTAATTCTATCCGTCATTTCCATATATTTTAAGTTAAAGCATGGCGTGACATCGAAGCCAAGCCATTTCAATTCATTGCCAACATCTTCAGCATCATTTTTGCACCGGTGAAGTTTATTCACTTCGTAGTCGTCGTTACCAATAAGAAGAGCTCGTTTAGTCAACGACAGTGTAGTGGTGGCCATTAATTTGTTATTTGTTTATCAAATTTTAGAAACAGAACACAATCTAAAAGAAAAGAAGATGCATTTCCATGTGAATGAGTTTAACTGTACAGATTATTTGAAAGTGTTGAATATTGTTAGTATCAACAATCAGAAAAAAAAATTTCATCATCTATTTCACCCTTCTCTTTTTTCACGTGACGAAAGCGGTATATGCTACTTTAGTTAATCGATAACTTTTTATCTACCTATTTTGCCTTTGTCAATAAACTGTTGGAGAACTCCAACATGATTCATATTGCTGTCAAATAAATGAAAGTAATGTATTACGATTCAGAATATATAGTGTATTTGCTTTATCTCGTTATTCTAATTCATATGATAACAGTGAATGATCTAATCAACTATAGCTGTATCACTTGTCCCTTTCCTCATATGTGATAGAAATTGTGTTTATAACAATGCAGATTACATATGAAAAATATCTTTTGACAAAAAAATAATAAAGATATGAATGATATTCATCTCAAAAAGCGACACAAAAGTGCTTCGATTAAATGCAACTCTGTTGCTTTTATATCTAGAATAGTTTTTCTTAATAAGTTCTGAAGATAAATTAATTCTTGCTTACTCTACTTAGGACATCTTCTTCGATCACTGTAGTATTAATAATTACTGAAGATATATATATGGCTTAAAATCAGATCTGTTACCTTCCGAATCATTTCTCGATTTGATTTTCTGCTATGAATGATTACTAAGTGTCTTTCATTGTTGATAATATTAAAATTTACCGGATATCTTCGTTTCGTTCAGAAAACACAAAAGAAAATCGTGAAAAACTAACATATCGTTCATTTCGACATGTTTCTGACCATTACTGCTTTTCACACTCTAGAAAAGGATGTGGGAGTGGTAACACATCTGTATTTTTCAAAAAACTGTAGGACAAATAGAAGGGACACGAAGTCTAAATATATATATATTATGCCAAAAAAATAATTATTGTTTGGCATATTTGAAAAAGTTTTCATTTTAATATATCAATTGTTAAAATACTTTTATAATCCACATTTAAGATTCTATAGAATAACGAAGTTTCCCATCTGTTACATGAAGAGAGCTTAGTAAAAAGATAGATGATAATTACAATGCATTGATTGATCATTTAAAAATATTCTCTAATGAATTGTGTTATATGAATTGTATTAAACTTATCAATAATTTCAGTTCACTAAAAGAAGTAGGACTTGTTCATCGAATTTTCGAATAAAGTCAACAAGAGATAATAATGCTTTATTTGGCTTTTGCATAAATAATTAATCGTAGCCATACGACTGCTGCATTAACATTTTCGTCGAAACGATAGTAGGCATTATCAGCATACTTCCAATCACCTGAAACTTCCTTCGGTTCAGTGCCAGGTTTAGACTGTAGTAAACCTTCCCATCGCCAAACACAGTTGTTAAAAGCACACGTTATGGGTTCAACATACTTTGAACATTGAGG